GATGAAAAAAATTGAAATAAACCTAACCCTTAACCTAACCCTAAATCTAACCCTAAATGTAACCCTTAACCTAATGCTAAACCTAACGCTAACCCTTAACCTAACCCTAACCCTTAACCTAACGCTAAACCTAACGCTAACGCTAAACGTAACCCTAACGCTCTAAACCTAACCCTAACCCTTACCTTTATGTGAATCGGCTTGCTTTAATTTTAATTTTATTTAAATTTTTAATTTTTTTCGTTGCGCTGTGATGACGTCAAATGCGCGCTTTCGGCGAGCGCGCTTTTGTGGACCGCGGTTTTGACGGGTCACGGGATTTTGAGGGGGAAACTTTCAAACCACAAGGCAGAAAGCAACATGAAATCTCTTTGTCAATTTACACTAAGGATCCAATATCAAAACATACTTTAAATAAGCAAAGAGGGACAAAACTTCTGGTTACAAGAAGCATCTGAGAAACTCAGCAGTAACAAAGTGTTCAAATCTCTGTGAATAGCACAAATGTCCAGAAAAGTTTTAAACCAAGTTTTTTTTTTTTTCCTGGTCACTCTTCTACACAAAAGTTCTCGTCACAAAGACGGAAGGTATGGCATGTAGTCTTACCTTTTGCTAATTCTGTAATGTGCAGTCTCCAAGACTCCCGTTACGGGGTTTGAAATGGTGGCTCGCCTCAGCTGTGAAGCGAACCAATCAGAACAGTCGCATTACAACGTACACATTGCATCACATTTATCTGACCATTCAGAATCCGGGGGGAGGAACCCCAATTTCCGTAGGGTTCTTTTCCATTAAGGAACAAACACCGCCACCACCACCGTACAAGAAACGTGGAACACGAAACAATTTAAGAATGTCAAAAATAATAACATTTAAGCATAATACTGAATGTATTTTTTTGCGAAACCAATGCTACATTTTTGAATATAGGGTTAGAAATCAATCTAGGCTTCTTTGGAAGCTGCAAGCATTATACTATCATTCTGACCTGGGAAAGTGTTAAGAGTGCATGTAAGCACCCTACACATTACTTACCTTCCTGATGACCAAAAAATAAAAATTAGGGATTATTGGGAAAAGTGGCCCGCCAGCGGCCAGCAGAGCTGGCAGCAGATTCAGACAGCGAGGAGGTTGGGGAGGAACATAAGCCAGTCCTGGAGGCTGGGGCAAACCCAGAGGAGGGCTCTGCGTCGGGGGCAGAGATGGGGCCAAGGCCGTTTGGCAGTTCTCAGCTGCCTTCGGAGCTAGACAGCAGTGAGGCAGAAGAACAGTTGGCGCCTGTTCCCAGTGTGCGCACGCGCAGAGCTGCCAGAATAAAAGAACAGCTCAGAAATCGGGGTTGACTTGGGAGTAAAGCCACAGGAGGATGGTTTCAGGTGTGAAGATCTGTCCGTGTAACTCAGAGACTCTGTGCCAAGTCTTTCCTTGCACAACACTGCGTCTGGAAAATATTGACATGGCAGCTTTCCAAGCTAGATAAGGTCTGTGGTGATAAATTCACCATCGAAAGACTGTTTACCAGGCCTTTGCTGAATGTGAATGGGTGGAATTCACATTCATTTAATTAAAAAAGGGTTTTTTGGGGACCAGAAATCTGCTTTGTGCTTTTTGGGGAAGCCTTGGTCAGCACAGATTAAAAGCACTTTGAATCCTCAGAGTGGCATTGCCCAAGCCAGCACAGGCACAAAACTGGTAGTCCTTGACTTACAACCACAATTGAGCCAAAAATTTATGTTGCCAAGCAAGGTATTTCTTAAGTGAATTTTGTCCCATTTTACAACCTTTCCTGCCACTGTTGTTACCTAATACGGTTGTTAAGTGAATCTGATTTCCCCATTCGACTTTGCTTGTTAGAAGGTTCATATCACCTCAGGACACTGCAATTGTCATAAATATGAGCGAATTGCCAAGTGTCCAAATTTTGATCGTGCAACTATGGGGACGCCACAACGTCGTCTTAAGTGTGAAAAACAGTCCTAAGTCATTTTATCGGTACCGTTATAACTTTGAACCGTCGCCAAACAAATGGTTGTAAGTTGAGGACTACATGTAGTGGCCTGAACAAAGAAAGAGAAACACCAGAAGCTGATTGCTGAAGAAAGACAATTTTGGGATTTAGTTATAAAAGAATTCCTATTTGATAAAAGGTGATAAGCAGAAAAACTTTAATCTCAACTTTTCAGTTAAGAACTATAAATCCAAGCTTCCTTAAACTTTTACTAAACCAGAATCTCTCTCTTTTTTTAAAAAAAAATGCCTTGATACAGAATGGACCAATTGAACATAACATTCTAGTACAGCGTTTCTCAACCTTGGCGACTTTAAGTCCTGTGGACTTGAACTCCCAGAATTCCCCCAGCCAGCTCTGCTGGCTGGGGGGATTCTGGGAGTTGAAGTCCACGGGACTTAAAGTCGCCAAGGTTGAGAAACACTGTTCTAGTAACTTGCTGCATGATTTAATCCTACAGAAATAAGACTATACACTACTATACAGAAAGAATCAAGTAGATACCATATTTTTTGGACTATAAGAGACACTTTTTTGTCTCCCAAAAGGGGGTGAAAATGGCTGTGTGTCTTACAGACCAAATATCGCCAAAACCCTGCACATCTGCTGGCCATTTTTGGGCCTCCGCATGACCCTTTCTCAGGTCTTTTTTGGAGGCTTTTATGCCCATTTCTGAAGCTTTTTTTGAGTCTTTTCTTGGCTCGTTTTTTTGGGGGGGGTGTTGGCCTGTTTTTGAGGCTTTTTCGCCCTGTTTTTTCGGCTTTTCTTGGCCCATTTTTGAGGATTTTTTGGGGCCTGTTTTTCCAAAAGAAATGGACTGAAAAAAACGGGCCGAAAAAAGCCTCAAAAACGGGCCAACAAAAGCCTCGAAGATGGGACAAAAAAGCCTCAAAACATACGAAAAAAGCCCCCAAAATGGACCAAAAAGCCCCTAAACGGGTCAAAGATGTTTCAAAAATGGGTAGAAAAAAGGCTGGAAAAGGGCTGGAAAAGGGGGCCAAAAATGAGGCGCGCAAAGGGCAAAACCCTTTTAAAAATTGTTTTCCTTGTCTAAAATTTAGGTTCGCCTTATAGTCAGGTGTGTCTTATAATCTGAAAAACACGGTAATTATCTGTCATTAGAATTATAGCTGAATCTACTATTAGAATTTGTCTTGACAAAGTGTAAAAAAAAAAAAAGTACCATTCGTACTATTAAAAAATAGTACAAATGGTACTATTTGTCAGTTCGCCTGCCTTAAAAGAATTCTTAAGCTTTTCATTACTATTTTTAAAACAAGCTCCCAAAACAGGGCATGCCTACATTTTATTCGACATAATCGTTGGATAAGCAACAATGGTTTCAAGGATCAGAACTATTTGTCAATCTGTTCCGCTCCTTTGCTACTTCAGAAATAAAATGCAGATGCCATTAAGACTGCAAGAGGCTATTTAGCAAGGCCCCAAGAAAGCTGCAATCAGGAAGCAAGTATCAGGGTGAGAATCATTGGTGGCCTTGTTCAAAAGATTGTGGACAATTTAAGATTCTTTACCCTTGGTTTTGAAAGCTCTTTGACTTTTACTATTTCTTCGTCAGAGATAATGTCAAGAAAGCGGACAATCCGAGGGCGATCCCACTCATCTTCTTGTTTGACAGGTCCCAGGATGTAATACGGGTTTCTGTGCCCATCGGAATAACGGCAAAACAGCTTCTTTTCTTTCCTTGGAGTCTAAATGGTTGAAATGAAGGGCAAGCATTAGTACCTCAATGCATTATTTGACATCCACAAATATTCTGTAATGTTGGTATTGTGACCTCTAGACTGGACTACTGCAACGTGCTCTACATGGGGCAGCCCTTGAAGAGCATTCGGNACCAGGCCGCACCCTCAGTCCTTTCCGATACACTCTCAATCACTCTCCCATACACACCCCACTAAAATCCATTAAAACATATAAAAATACAATAGAATAATAAAAAGGTAGTTAAAATTAGGTGGGTTCATTCAACAAGCAGTCACACCATACACACTCTATACACAAGGGAATTGTGCAGATCTTAACAAAAAATACCAGTCAAGTGGATTTGTGCAGGAATCGCGGTCGGAAAACAATGATGATAAAGTGGAGGGAGAGTTCCAAAGTCCCTCTCCCTCTTGTAGGTCTGGAAATGCAAGGAGGAGTGGGGGGCAGAGACCCAGAGTCTGAGATGGGCAGAGAGGTTGTAGGGGAGGGGGGTAGTCGCCAGTTGAAATCTATAACAGTTCGCAGTCTTGTCCCCCCCCCACCTCTCGTTGCTGACCCAGACAACCCGACCAAAGGTGCTGTCGAAAAGGGTCCTCTTGCGAAGCAGCAGATAGCAGATAGTAAATAGAGAGAGGAAGAGGAGGGGAGGAGGGAGGCCTAGAAGGGCTGTGGCAGCAGCAAAAGCCAGCCGCTCAGTCCCGGCAAGCATGGTTAATCCACTCACCGCCCCTCCTCGGGGCGCCAGTACAATAACACCAGGTCCAAAGGTCCAATAGTCTAAGTCCAGAGGTCCAATAGGCCCAGATCAATAATCTCGATTCCGCGGCATGGCCAGAAGGCCGCCCAAGCGCCGCCGCAACTGCCACCATCACTCGCAAAACGCCGCTGCCCGCGAGCCGCCCGAGAACGACCCCCTCCAGCAAAGCCAGCAAGCCTGGATGGTCTAGGGAGCCCAGCACAGATGAAGCACTCACTCCAGCACTCACTCCAGCAGTGCAGCCGGGAGCCACTCGCCGCCCCAGCGCCATTGCCATCGCCGCCACCGCTCTCTCTCAAAACGCCGCCGTTGCCGCCTCGTCGCAAGCCAGCATGGGGGTGAAAAAGAAAACTCAGGAGCGTCCAAAATGCCATCCAGGGGCCGCCTGGAAGCAACCCCCTCCCAGCAGATGTTCCCCCAACCTGCTCGATAAACAGTCCCTTGTGGGGGGCTCTTCCCTTCCAAAGCCTGGCAGCTCTGTCCCAAGAAATTTCCTGCTTTTTACTCTTCGCAAGCCCGAGCGTTCAGCTCGGGCAGCCATATTCTATCCTGCACATCATACCAAGACAACGGTTTCCAAATAACTATGAGCAACCTTTCCCTCGCCTCTTCAATCTGAGACAAATCATATACATGAAAGCTCATTTTGTGGAGTTCCTAGACCAGATGGTCCAGAACGGACATGCAGAACTTACTCCACCTCTGAAAATTGATGAAGAATGCTGGCACCCACCATCCTTTAGAAAGTGCCAGCCACAAGAGCCAGACCAGATTCAAGCACTTTTCAATACCAGCGTGAAATCCCAAGGCCTCTCTTTAAACAAAGTGCTCTTCAAAAGTCCCGACCTCACCAACAGTCTACTCAGCATGCTCATTCACCCCAGAAATGAAGCCATAGCCATCATGGACAACATCCAGCAGATGTTCAACTTATTCCATGTCAGAGAAAACCATCAAAGTTATCTATGTTTCATGTGGTCCAGCAATGGACAGCACAACCAACAGAAGCAAGAATGGCCAATATGGCGAGAATCCCTGAGTTGTCTCCAAGGCGTTCCTGTCCAGCGCAAGTATGTTCC